GCCCCTAGGGTCAGGCTCCACATTCCTCCGGGAGAAACACCAGGATCCGAGCTTCCCCCGGCTGCCCAGGACTCCTCAGGAGCAGCAGCTATCACTGGATGACCCTGGATGACCCCACTACATCCCTGCCCAGAGCCTGGGGACGGCAACAGAGAACTGTGATAACAGCCAGTTTCCCTGCAGCAGAGGAGCTGCTCCTTGTCCTGAGTCTTAGGGAAGCCACTGGGGCCTGCTTGGCTTCTCACGCCAGAGCAGTGGGACTTAGTCACCTCCCAGTGGGAGAGTCCAGCTGGTCCCTGCACTGATTGGACAGCTGGAGCTGGGGCTGCAGATGGAGGGAATATGCCTGACTCAGCTTCCCCTGTACCCCCTTGGTAGTGGGAACGGCCAGTTCCTGGGGATCAGAGCCCAAGGAGGCAGAAGGGGCTGAGGACAGGGCTTTGGGGCCCATCTGCCAGAGTTGAGAACACTCGGGTGGGCATGGTCGCACCCACGGCCACCCTGGAGCCCCCAGCTTCCTTCCCACTGCGCAGCCCAGCCTACACCAGGATGGGCACCAGGCTGATGCTGCCCAGCTACCACTCCCAGAGCCAGGACAGGACTCACGCATGAGGCACCAGAACCTCTCATTTCCAAACTCCCTGCTTGCAAGCTGAGGCCCCTCTCGCCCCTGAGGTCAAATCCCACCGGCCAGCTGCGCAGAGCCAGGGCCAGACCTTCATCTAGGCCTTGCACTCTGCTCATTCCTGCCAGGCAAGCCATCTTCCTCCTATGCAACTAGACAAGGATGCCAGGGCTCCGGGACAGCCCTGGGCTCACGGGCTCTGCTAACAGCCTCCCATCTGCATGTAAGGAGTCCAGGGAACAACAGAAAGTGCAGGACCACATCCCTGAAGGTCTGGACCTTGGTCTAGCCACAATTCATAGAACACAGAGGAGGCAAGGGAGCTCAGATGTCCAGAGAGCTGTCAAGGTCACAGAGCAGTAGCAAGGCCAGGCAGGAGTCACCCAGGGTGTCTGAGCCTGGAGCCAGAGCCCAGGCCAGCAGCCTGTGTGGCTCCTTGCGGGTCCCAGTGCTGTGTTCCCGCAGAAAGGGATCACTGGCACCTGGGAACACTGAAAACACTCCCTCTCCCCCCACCCAGAGGTGATCCTGTTTTCCCACTCTCCATATGGGAAAATAGAGCCTCCAGCCCCACCCCAGCCTAAAGTACTCAGTTCCCTGAAGGCAGAAGTCCCTTGTGTGGAAAACACATTCCGAGGAATAGTTGATCTCCCGCATCCAGCTGGCATAGGGACATCCCTATCCTGTATCCCAGGCACTTAGAGACCTGTAGGGCTGAAGGTCTGGCCCTGGAAGTAGGAAGAATCCTTGCATAGGAGGTAGCTGCAGGGCAAGGAATGGCAGATGGGGACAGGCTTGGGGTCTGCTTCCCAAGAAAAGCCACGGTCCTGGTTCAGCAACTCACAGAGCACCAGGCACTTGGCGAGACCCCAGACTCTGCCCAGGTCCCAGAGGGGGTCGCTGCACCTTCCCAAGGCTCAGTTTCCCCACTTGAAGCCTCCATGCTGGCACGGGCTGGAAGTGCTGACCCCCTGGGAAGCTCCCTCGAAGGGCCTGTGAGTCCTGCGCCCTAAGAATCACCTGGGGCCACCCACTTTGTGCTGGCCACCCTGAGTTCCAAGGCCACAGACAGCTTCCTCTGGTCAGGTGGGGTGGAAGGGGTAAAGCTTATGTAACACGCCCATTATCATCACGACCTTTGCTCCAGCCTGCAGGGCTTAGGAAAGGCGGCCTCATTGGCTGAGCTGGAAGCCAGCACAGAAAAGACCTATTCAGGGCCCAGAGCTCCATCGCTTTTTTTTAAAAGCCCAGACCCCCTCCACAAGCCCTCCCTTTTAAATCAACAAAAACACAAGCAGGGGAACAAACACAGCTTATTTTGAGAAGCACAAAATTTTAACCCAAACTTATTCACAGGAGGATTGAGAAGGTTCTGGTTTCTCCCCATGAGCCACAGGGGAACAGGGGGAGACGGACACACCCTGGGGCCCGAGGGGCGCGGGGCTCACAGCGTGGGGGAGGGGCAGGCAGAAAAGGAGCTGAAAGTTCTTTTGTTTGAAAATCACATCAGTTCCAGGGCAAACCTGAATTTGCCCTGTTTGCGCTCTCTCTGTGCAGCGTTGCTTTGCAGTACTGTACAGAGCATCCAGACAGACCTCCAGCCCAACAGCCCAGGAGCGAGCCCGATTTGCATACACATTCACAGGCCCGCCAGGCCCGCCCCGTCCCATAGAGCACTGCCTAGAATACAGATGGTGCCTCCCACAACGGCCACAGGAGGGAACAGCCCCGAGAGGACAGCGGGGCCACCTTGCCGGGCTCGGTGGCAGGTGCAGCCACGCAGGAGCCTCTGGGCTGCGCACTTGCAGGCGAGCTGTCCAACAGCAAGCAGCGCCCTTCGGGGAAGCGAAAGTGTGCTTGGCAAACCGGGAGGACGCTGCAACCGCGGAAAGCCACTGCGTGCAGAGGCCAACCTCAGAGACCGCAAGTGGGCACAGGGACTCTTGATTTCAGCCCCACCTTACAGAAAGAGGTAGAGAGAGGCTGCACAAAATTAATCTACTGGCCCACATCTATGAAGGTGCCAAGATTCAAAGTCAAGGCAGCCGGACTCTGGCTAAGGGGTTATCAACCACCTAAACACTCAGTGGTCTATGATAAGAGACGCACACTTCCCAGCACCAGAGCAAGGGGACAAACCTGAGTGGGGAATCCAGAGCAGGGAATCACCTCTATGCCCCAATTAACAGTGAAGGGTTAGAAGCCCATGGCCCGGGCATAGATGGCCCTGAGGGAGACCCCTCCCAGGACAAGCACTTCCGATGTCAGTGGCCTTCCTAAGCAAGGCTTGGGCCTCTACCCGCCTGTCTGTCAAGCAGGGATAACACTAACTCCCAGGGTTCTGTGAGCATGAACCTCAGAGTGGTACCGAGGCATCAGCCACACTGTACTAAATGAAAGCCCCAGGTCCCGGGGTTGCAAAGCCCAGGTTCTAAGAGAAGGTCTTGACTTTGTGTCCATGCATTCTGCTCGTGTTGGTGGGAGGACAGCTCAAGGCCACCTGTGACTTTAAGGGACAAAACAGAACAAGAAAGATCCCACCAGCAACCAGAATCTGCAATGATAACGCTGGCTTTTCACACCCTTCCCCCAAAGCAACAGCTTCGCTGTGCTACAAAACCTGCCAACAGTCCAAGTGGACTTGGGACTGGCAGGATTGTGCAGAAAACCAACACCTGAACCCTGACCGCCGCCCAGCGGGTGGAAAGGCCGGGGCCTTGTCCACTCTGCTCCTGCATTATTCACTGCCAGACAGTCCCAGCGTCAGCACCCTGCACAACCAAGACAAAACTGCAAACAGGCTTGGACACTTGGACACTCCCACTGTCCTGCAGAGAATCGCCCTGGCCAAGTATCACTGGTGACACAGCTGAAAACCAGAAACATTCCACTTCCCAGCCACAGGACTGCGGCAATCCCTGCTTCTGTATTGCACCTGGGGAAACTGAGGCCCAGAAAACAGACTCTCCCAAGCCCCCAGAAAGGCAGGGTGCTACAGTGGGGGGTGCACCCCCAACAAATTAAGCCACCAGGCTCTGAGCTCCTGGGGACAGCCTGAAGGAGCCTGGGGTGCCAGGCAGGGTGGAGGCAGAGCTGTAAAAAGAAACCTGAGTTGTGACCATAGATTGCTAATCAGTAACAAAATAGCCCTCCAAACCAAGTCCTGCCCTGAACTCACACAGACCCAGGAGGGTAAATAAGGGACAAACCGAAGCACTGCCCCCCATCTCCGTGAGTCTAAGGCCCACCCCTGCCACTACCCCAGTGGGCCTACTAAGGCCACTCAGTCACCAAGCCAAAAAGAAAGTAGCCCCCCAAGGCAGAGGTTGTCCCCAGGAGAGAGCAGTTCCTTAAGGACCAGGCAGTCATCTCTGAATCAGAAATTGTTCTAAGCGGAAGCAGGTAGTACAAGGCAGTGTCAGCCAGAACTGGGACCCAAGCCTGCAAGAAGGCAAAGAGAAGGAAGCAGCGGGGAGTAGAAGAGCCACTAGTCAGAGGATGGAGGACAGAAGACAGAAGGCAGGGGTGGGGACAGCAGGCTGCTGGGCTCCTGCAGTCCCCAGCTACCGTCACCCTCTTCTTGGAGGAGGCCAAGAGACACGCAGGTGGGAGTGGAAGGCAAGGCTGAGCCTTCCTGAAGCCAAAGTGCTCTCACACACACCCTGGCCGCAAACAAGCGCAGCACTTCCTGTTCTGCCATCAGCGATTCACAAACCCTTTCACAAGTGTTATCTCCACATCAATCCCATGATGCCCGGATCATCGGCTCCAGTGCACAAATACAGAAACTGAGGCACACAGAGGAGAGAAGCCAGACTCCATTCCAATCCCTTCCTTATCCCTTGGGGAAATCGTAGCCCCTCTGTTTAAAAACGTCCCGGACCTGAAGTGCCAAACATATAGGAAAGGAGGAAGCCCTTTGGCTAGGGTCCTCTGGCCCAGCTCTCTGCCTCCTGGCTGCCCTGATAAGGCAAGAAGGAATCAGGCAGAATTCCACTCACTGCACGAGTGGACGCCGCTTGGGCTGGGGGCGCGGAGGGGTCGGACACACACACACACACACACACACACACACACACAGGCCCGACTGCGCGCCCCTGTTGCTCCAAGGAGGGGAGAGGCGCCTCCAGCCAGCCCCACAGGGCCAGTCGCCAACACCTACAACTCCGCCGCGACAAACTTTTCTGGGGCTGCGCCCAGCTGCTGACTGTCAGTTGGACAGGGGCACGCGCCATCCCCAACCACAGCCCAACATCAAGGCGGGTGGACGTGGGGTCCCCCTGCCCCGCGTGCAGGATGCACCCTGGAAATGAGAGCCGGAACATCCCACACTCTCAGTTCCATGCGGAACCCAGAGGGAGAAGAGGGTCCTTACCGTGCAGGCCGTTGGGGATGCTGCGGTGGTGCGGAGGGGCCGAAAGGTCGTCCAGGGACCGGCGGGTGGCTCCCGCCTTGCCGTCGGGGGCCTTGTGTGGCCCGGGGGGCAGCAGCGCGGGAGGCACATGGTGGTGGTGGTCCGGGCTGCCGCCGCTGCCAGCACTC